GGGTTCAGGGCCGATTTTACCTCCCGAAGGAGACTCCGCCCTTCGGCGTAGCCTCCTTCGGGTTCCTCTCTGTCCGGAGACAGAGAGTTGAACCGATCAGTCTGTTCAAAAATGAACGGCTGACTCACGATATTGAGTCTCCCCCACTGGGGAACCATGTGACACAAGGTCGGTTTTTATTGTGGGATTCCCGAGCCCGTGGGCTCGGCCCAAAAAATATGCCCATTTGAACCCGCATCAACGGGTTCAGGGCCGAGTTTTACCTCCCCGAAGGAGACTCCGCCCTTCGGCGTAGCCTCCTTCGGGTTCCTCTCCGTCCGGAGACAGAGAGTTGAACCGATCAGTCTGTTCAAAAATGAACGGCTGACTCACTTCTTGCCTACTCCTGAGGCGCAGTATTTATTAAGTATAGAATAGTCCATTATTATTATTATTATGGGTAAGATCCCATAACACCTTCGAAGATGGCTTTGACACATTTATTATTATCACTATTATTATTATTATTATTATTATTATTATTATTATTATTATTATTATTATGTTATAATTATTATGCACGGCCATAAAATACCAGTGAAAATTCCCATGTTGCATCGTTTAATATTTGAGCTTTAATAAATCGTTTATAAAATATTGGAGTAACAATTATAAATATGAATGATTGAGAGTATTTAAAGAAATAAGAGGGTGCAAATGAAAAGATTTAAAATTAATACGGGTTGACATTTCACTGAAGCAGACACATAAAAGTGTTATCGGCTCCTTTATCTTCCCTCCCTTTCTTTCTTTCTTTCTTTCTTTCTTTCTTTCTTTCTTTCTTTCTTTCTTTCTTTCTTTCCCTAAAACTAAATAGTGACTTTGATATATATGTTCTTCTATGTTGTTGATAGGGTTGAGTTAATCTATAATAGATCTTCACTTGCAATTAAAGAGGAATGGTCTATTGTTTATCTGAGGTAATGGTAATGCGGAACGGATGTGCTAAGAAATCCTAAGAATTCATTCTTCACTGTTAAAAAGGAAAAAAATAAAATAAGTCCTATAAAATTAAATTAAATTAAATAAATTATTAAACCGCGAAGTAGGGATTTTGTCAAAGTATTTTCCAAACAAATCTACTTATTCAAATTTCATCGATTGGTTTGTTAATTTGAACGAAACATAGATTTTGTAAATCTCGACGAACATTTTAGAGATAACTTCAACAATACCAAATACTGTGAAGTGTTATACACATGTCAGCGTTTTGCAAAAAAATCTAATTTATTAAACAGCATATCTATTTATTTTCGCCCACTGGCCTAAATGTTTGAGAAATCTTTAAAAAATAAATTGCACTCTCCGGCAGGATTTGAACCACAGGAAGCTACCATTAAACCCGGTACGCCTTATACAAATTGTTTATGAAGAGCAGACGGTCAGGTGAGGCTAAATTTAATACCATAAAAAAATCCATTCTAAAAAACACGAAACTGTGTAAATATGGAAGTTTCAGAGATTTTATGATGGAAAAAGTTTCGCCTGCGGGCAATTTTTAATTTAATAGACAAAAATAAACAAATCTACTGTTTAATTAATAAACGAAGCATCTGCTCAAATAGGATATCTACTAAAAGTTACGTTCAAATTGATAAAAGTCTGTCAAATTAATAACAAAACAAATCACAGATAGATAGATAGATAGATCAATAGGGATAAACTTAGACTGATATGAATACACTTAGGTATAAACTTAGATACGAATAAAATAAGTTGAACAGGCTGATAGATATATAGGTAGATATTAAGAACTTGAAATAGATACAGAGTGTGAGGGATAGATAGATAGATAGATAGATAGATAGATAGATATGAAGAGACTTATGTAGATAGATAGATAGATAGATAGATAGATAGATAGATAGATAGATAGATAGGGATAAATTTAGACTGATATGAATACACTTAGATAGGTATAAACTTAGATATGAATAAAATTAGATCAACAGGCTGATAGATATAAAGGTAGATATTAAGAAATTGAGATAGATACAGAGAGTGAGGGATAGATAGATAGATAGATAGATAGATAGATAGATAGATAGATAGATAGATTTTACGGAAGAAAAATCTGAGAATCACTGCTTATATGGACGTCGGCTTAACATTTATCAACTTCTAAGTTGTCAGCTTAAAAATCCTCACAGATAAAGATTTCAAGCAGCAGAGATGAGATTCTACAGAAGGATGCTGAGAATACCGTGGACGGAAAAATTGAACAACAATGAATTTTTAAGGAAAATATGAACAAAAAGGACACTAATACTTAGAATCAGAAACAGAGAAATAAAATGATCGCCAATGTCCTGAGGAAAAAAGGCTTGGAGAATTTGACACTCACAGCGCATACAAGAGGAGAGGAGGGAGAAGTCACGTTACCTACCAAACGAGATTTTGACCTGAGTAGAGTATTAAGGAGATAATCGTTGTTTAGAACTACAAGAATAAGAAGTTGTGG